GATGGAGTTTCACTCGTTGCCCAGGCTGGAGTGCAATGATATGATCTCAGCTCAGTGCAACCTCCGCCTCCCGGGTTCAGGCGATTCTCCTGTCTCAGCCTCCCAAGTAGCTGGGATTACAGTCGCATGCCACCACGCCTGGCTAATTTTTGTATTTTTAGTAGAGACGGGGTTTCATCGTATTGGTCAGGCTGGTCTCAAACTCCTGACCTCAGTTTATCCACCTGCCTTGGCCTCCCAAAGTGCTGGGATTACAGGCGTGGGTCACTGCGCTTGGCCTGTGGACATTTTTTAAACCATCACAGAGTTGGCGGTCTGGCTGTGGAGGCTGGGCTGGCAGAGGCTGAGCCATTTAGAATTTTGATTTTGTTGCTGGGTTGGTATTATTATGTTTGACTCAGTGAGGGTTAGAGTCACGGAGTATTGGAACACGGTAGTGCTGGGTTGGATGGCTGGGGTTTGGTGTTGACAGGACGGTGGTTGGGCTGGTGGGGACTGTAACGTCAGAGGTGGTGGGAGTTCAGTGAAAGTGTGCTCAGGGATTATGGTGTTTAAAGTCATCACTGTGGGTCCAGTGGAAGCTTGGTGATGGTGGAAATGAGAAGGGCTATCTGCTGGGGATGGTGGAGCTTGGAGTTGGACATTATGTTGATTGTGTGGTTCTAATTGTAGTTGAGTCGTTGGGTAGAGTGAGGTGTGGCATCATGGAGTTGTTGATTGCTGGAATCACAGCGGCAGTTAGGGTGGTGGGCACTGGCCCGTGTATTTCCTAGTTATGGGAGCTGAATCCACTATTGAGGAAGAGGTTGAAATGGCTGGGGTAGGCCGGGCGCAGTGACTCATGCCTGTAATCCCAGCACTTTGAGAGGCCAAGGCGAGCGATCAGGAGGTCAGGAGTTTGAGACTAGTCTGGCCAACATAGTGAAACCCTGTCTCTACTAAAAAGACAAAAACTTAGGTGTGGTGGTGTGCGCTTGTAATTCCCGCTACTCAGGAGGCTGAGGCAGGAGAATCACATGAATCCAGGAGGAGGCAGAAGTTGCAGTGAGCTGAGATCATGCCATTGCACTCCAGCCTGGGCAACAGTGCAAAACTCCACCTCAAAAAAAAAAAAAAAAAAA